GGAGACCCAGGAGAGCCGATGCTGCAGAGCCGATGCTGCAGACGTTGTGGAGGGCAATCTGCTTTACTCAAAGTTCACCAATTTAATCATCAAAAAAGCACCTTCTAAGTCAACATAAATTCACCGTTAATCCATCCCTCTTCTCACCCTAACCCGTTTGGCTTTAGGGCCTGGATGCCTGCATTAATATTGTCAGTTGCTATGCCACTTTTGCTTTTGAAGAAACATTTGAAATACCTTATTTTATAAAATTAATAAATTCCATAAAATAAAATTGCAGCATTTCTGGTTTGCAGTTATACTGAATTCTAGATATGATTTGACTAGCTCGTAGCACTTACAACGAGATTATTCTCTGTGGTCTAGCTGCTGTACTCGTAGTAATGTGTCCCACGATTTCATTTTACCCCATTTTATCACTCTTTGCACTTGCAATTAAACAACTGTCTTTTTCTCTACATGAACTATTGTTAAGACAATTTCCTTCCCCCTCTTCCCATCCCTTTTCTCAGTGATCGAGGACATTTAACGTAAGCATAAAATTTCACATTATAATCCCTATTTTAAAATATCATTATTTAGCCCATTGATTGATCTTAGAGCCATAGAAACTTAGAGGCAAAATGAACATTTTATAACAAAAACTGGAGTCCAAAGTAAATGTTGCATAGATTTATCAGCTAATTAGTGACACAACTGAATCATGTTTAGTGATCTTTAACTCATCAAACATCAAGTACCTGTTATATCTCCAGATAATGTGCTAAATGCTATATTTTGGTTAAAATCATTTTAGAAGGTGTAAAAACTTTATAAGTCACTGCCAATTTCAATTATAGAAAAGGAAAGAAATACTGAGATGTCAAATATTATCCAGGTAATAGGCCTATGTCTTTATATCAAAATGTAATAGTCATTTTGTTATATCTTTGCCTTATTTATTGATAATAGTCTTAAAGCAGTCAAGGTAGGAGTTTTGCTCTACGGTCTGCTACTAGAAGCTGTTCCTTTAATAAGTATGTTTTAGATATTGTTTAACCATTACTTAACTGATTAGAAAGCTACCTAGTTAAATTATATTCATTCACTTCCTTGTCTTTTCTTTTTGAGTAATGAAATGAGGTTGTTTTTATATGACTAGAAAAGAAACATATCTTACTATGAGGGTATGCCTTGCCTTGACTTCTTACTCTAAATCAAATAACGATCGACATGTCAAACTGACGAAATAAAACCTCGTTTATAAATGTGTTATTATTTCTTAAATGCCACAAGTGGCAGTAAAATAGCCTTCATTTGAATCGGTAACCTCAGTTGCCCCCCCTCAAGAGTAGGTGCATTTTTACGTAAATATTTTGGAATATTGGAGTAAAATCTCAATAAATGTTAATTTCATTCTCTTTCATGATATGCAGTGTTCCCATGAGATGAAAGGTGTGATAATATGGGTTAAAAAAAATCATTGCTGTGTAGTTTTAAATTTTTGCAGTTAGTAACTGTTAGTAGTGTGAATCCCAGCTTAAAATGTTTGCTGCTGATTAAAACATGGGCAGTTGTATTATTGAGAACAAATACTCAACTTTGAGACCTTGAATCTGAAAAGCCAAATCTCCACATTTCTATGAAACATGTATTGGTTTGTCAGTTGATAACAGGTAGTCATAGGTCCTTGAGGTGTTCATCTAGGCCCTTCTCCTAATGGTGAGATCTACCAAAGGTACCAGAGGGAGAACATGCCTCTCCTTGCCTGATTCCTGATGAGCAAGACGTGGGTGAAGTCAGGATGTAGGCTGTCCATCACAGGAGCCAAATGAAAACTTGGGGCTCCATCGCAGTTGTCACCCTATGTTTTCTGTCAGCAGCTAGTCTTTCAAACTTTTCAGCACCTTAGAAGATTTTTCTGATGTACATTTCAATGTATCATTATCAAAGACGAGAGGATTTATTATGTCAGAACTTCAAAAATTATAAGTTCTTAAATCACTTTGAAAGAAATTGACAATCTAGAAGTGAATGTTTTTATTTTGGCCTTGCTGTTGTGGTTTCTGGAACAGAGTACTTTTCTGATAATGAAACAGAAATCCTTGCATTCCTGTTGGAATTTCCTGTTGGGAGTGTAGGGTTTCGTGAGCAGTATGTGACATTGGCTAGTTATGCAACATGTTGGATTTTACTGCCAGCTCTTTGTTTAACAAAGGTGTGAGAAGTTTGGGCCGGACAGGAATGTGAAGTCAATGTTAAGTATGGCATCACCTTACCACCTGCCACATGAATAAACGAGATTCATAAGCAAACATGTTGTACATTTAAATTTTTTTTATCAACTCAGATAAGCCAGCTAGCTATACATAGTTTTCTCTCTTACCTGATGTGGGAAAACTTTTTCTTTTTCACTCCAGGAAAATGTTTAGAGGAGAAAACGTGCCCCGCTCCCCGCCAAAGTCGTATCCAGTTTCTTCGGTGATTGCAGGGGAGAGGGCTTTGTACTTATAGAATATGTAAATGCCAATATGTGGCTGGCTGAGGGTTGATTCTTCAATATAACGTCCAACTTGCTAGATTCAGGCCGTTGCTCTCCTCCTGCATAGGTTCTTAGTTCTGCCACATAGCACTTCACGATCTGTTTGGAATAAGCCCTTCCAAATCTTATATAGAAAGACATCTGTTGTCTTTGCTGTTTGTAAGGATGCATTTAGAGACCATGTTACAATCCAGTCCCCTTCAACAATACATTATCTCATTTGTGTTAAATTCTAAACATCAGGAATTCCTTCAGTTAACATCTGTCTCTGTAAAAGATTTCTTAACCTCAGCACTGTCAACATTTTGGATGTGATGGGCCTGGGGGACTTGCCTGATCATTATAGGATGTTTAGCAGCATCGTTGACTTCTACTCACTAGATGCCAGTAACACCCCGTCAGTGAAAAATGTCTACTCACTAGATGCCAGTAACACCCCGTCCTCCATATGACAGCGAAAAATGTCTCCAAACATTGCCACATGTCCCCTAGGGGGAAAAATTGCCCCTGGTTGAGAGCCACTGCTCTAACACAAAATAGAATGTTAGAGAAAGGGCCTTAGCAATTATCTAATTTATGTTTTCTCTTTTTCCTATAGCTGTGATTTACTTAGGATCTCATGACTCCTTAGTCTCAGAGATGACTTAGGTCCCTAACTTTTCAGTTTCTTTTCCTACCATACTATGCTTTCTGGACTCCCTGCTAATGGACTCCCTGCCATGTTATCCAACTACATGGGTTTCATTAGGGCACAGCCAACCATTTAGTAACCTACTCCATAATGTGTGCATAGAAACTGTAATTCTCCTTAAGTCTCCGTTGGGTTGTTCGCTGAAATGTAACCCCGAGATGAAGATTTGTATAAAAATGGATTATTAGGAAGTGTTCTCCGGAAATGCTGGTAGGGCAGCTGGGAAAGAGATAGAGAAGGGAAGAGAAGAAGGATACAAAAGCGGGCTCACTTCCAGGGAGGTGGTTTTAGCTCAGTTCCACAAGAGAGCTCTTAGGATAGTGTGGATCGTATCCCAGAATTATCCAGCTCAGGTGCAGTGATTACAACTTTGCAGCGACCCCGTCATTCAGACAACTTCAGTAAACAGCCTGCCTGGCTGCCAAAGTTAGACTACACGCCATCCAGTGGTTTGTGTATTGCTATAAAGTTAAGGCTCTATAAACAGGGAGACTAGCAGGGGGCTCATCATTTCCCTACTAGAAGCAAAGCCCAGCAGTACGGTGGTTTTTGTAGGAAGGGAATGGGGTACCTATACATTTTTTCCTCTCATTGGTCTTGGCCTTTTACTTGTAAGTTTTCTCTTTCTCCAACAGAGCCTATCTTTAACTCATGCTGTGTAATGCCGAATTTGTCTTAAAACCTACATAATGAGTACTATAAAGAAAAAAGTAGATTGAAGGGAGATACCATGTACTTTAGATTACTGGAGTGATCAAAAAGACCTGTCTGAGAAAGTGACATGTAAGCTGAAATCTGAACACTGAGAAAGTAAATCCTGCAAAGACCTAGGGGAAGAGCCTCTAGGCAGAGGCTAAATACGGAAAATCTCTGAAGTGGAAAAAGGATTTTCCATTCCTCATGTGTTTAAGGAATTGCAAGAAGGCTAATTTGGGTGGCTGGAGATAGTGATTAAAGGAGAGGAGAATGAAGGTGGCATGAAATGAAGCTGGAGAAATACAAAATACAGTAGGGGCCAGGTCCTAATAAATGGCCTCCTTGGTTAGGGATTCTTATTTTATCCAAAGTACAGCGGGAAGCTACTGATACAGGTTTTTAAAAAGATAACTGCTGTTCCTCTATAGAGAATAGAGGTTTAGAATGGGAGTCGCGAAGTCAGGAAATCGATGTAGTGGTTTATTTGAGAGAAGGCGATAGCTTTGGGTAGGGCGATGGCATTATACATGGAAAGGAATGGAGAGAATTGAGACCAATTTGGGAGGTACAATCCACTGGACAAGTCAGCCAACAGGATGGAAAGGTGAGACAGAGAAGGGTGACTTCTAAATTTTCGATTTATACTCCTGGGGAGATAAAAAAATGGGGGAAGTGCTAGGGGAGGAGACGGGGGAGCACCAGGGGCGGGATGAAGACTTCCATTTTGATCATGTTAAATTTGAAATATGAGCCATCTGTTTAGGGATTCAAGAGACCAGCTGAATATATACGAGTTAGAAGTTCAGAGACAAGGTCCCGGTGGGAAATGTAAATTTTGGAGTCATTGGCACCTGTGTGATATTTAAAGCTAGAGCCTGGATAGGCATAGTACTTTGGCACAAACAGAAGGATTCGCCCTGAAACTTCACTCTGTAATGTCTGCCTGGGTTTTTTTACTTTCAGAGGGCCTCCAGCTGTGGTTTTTTAAATAAGATATTTCGCTTGATTTATGGCTCTGACTCTACTCACAATGATCTATTTAAAAAATCTTAAGGCATTCTGCCTTAATTCTGGTTTTATTTTGTTGGTTTTTAGTTTTGATTATTATGGTCTGATTTTTAAAGTTTCTGTCTGTAGTAGATTTGCCGGGTGTGTTGTGTTGTTCACCGCCCCGTATTCCTATGTTTGGGACATCTTTCCGTAGGAGTCTTGGTGTGAAATGGAACCCCAAATGCCACAGAGTTGGTATCTCAGCCTTCTGTGCAGCTTGGGCCCAGGCATATGGCCTAGGTTTGATTGGTCAGGTATATCCACATGGACTTTGAATCTGAAGCTCGCGATGATAAGAAGCAAGGGGAGCAGAGAATCTCAGCAATATCCGGTTCCTAGAGGCTGAATCCAGCACTCAGTTCCAGCGGAGGTCGTGTGGTAAGTAGTAGGTGTTTGGTGGTTTTGGTTGCAGCAGCAACAATGTGCTCATGGTCTCATCTCTGGCATGATATTGAGCTGTGATCTTGGCTCCGGTGAGCCTTTCCAGCAATTCCGTGAGTCAAACAATATCCTTTCAGTTAACTCCTTTTCTCTTATTTCCCCATATATCATCATTCCTTCTTGTACCTATAATCATCTTTCTGGGTTCCTTTTCTTTCTCAAAGTACATACTTTGGAAGTTCCCTTAGTGTGGAACTCTTGACAGTAAACACTGTTTTTGTCTGCAAAGGACTTAATTCACTCTCATTCTTGGAAGACAGTTTTGCTGGGTACACAATTATAGGTTGACAGATATTTTTTCTCAACACTTTGGAGGCATTTTCCCATTGCCTCCTGGCCTTAATTATCACTGAGGAAAAGTCATTTGTCTTTTCAATAATTTCTTTATAGGTGATCTTTTTTCCCCTAGCGACTTCTAAGTTCTTCATTTGAAGAACTGAAGAGCTAACTGATTGAGAAGCTCCGGAAATTACTAGAAACATATTGCCTAGTAATTTTCCTAACAGCCATCTTGTTTTTAGTCTAAATATGAACCCCAGGAGCTAAGGAACTGGTTCTATTTTTATTTTACTATGATTCTTTCTATCAGGCCTTCACCCTGATACCATTTTTATATTCAGTGTTTCAGAGTTTACAGTCATCTGCATTTGTGGTTACTCTCAAAAATCTTATACTACCACCACCATCCCACATAGCTGCTGACTGTCCATCAAGCCTTTCCACCTCTGAATCTAGATTCAAAATCAGGCTAAGTTTAATGAACTGAGATAAACTGAGCCTACTCAAATTGAATGATGTTAACAGATCATCAACTATAGAATCAAACAACCATGAGCTGCAGAAGACTAACAATGTATCATACTTAATGAAGAAGCACTTTAGAAGCACTACCATTTAAGTCAGGAATGAGATAAGGATGAATTCATCATAACTATCTTTTTTCTGGAAGTATTGACCATTACGTTAGACTGGAGTGAAAATAAACAGTAAACGATAAAAATTTTATAAAGAAAGATCAAACCAATATTTGTAGACGCTCGGAAGCAAGTGAATGGCTACGTGGTAGAATAATTCAGTAAGGCCACTGAGGCCAAGAGCACGGAAACAATTTCATGTATTCAAACTAGCGCCAGTTAGAAGTAGAAATGGAAGAAATAATCCCATTGCCTAGGTTTGAGAAGATGAAAAGAAAGGAAAGACAGCATGAAACATGCAGAAATGATATGAAGAAAATTGTAAAACACCATGGAGAGAACAAAAATGAACACTCAGAGAAATGTTAAGGTGTTGCCACATTTGGATAGGAAAATTCAACATCGTCATAACAATTTTTCTTAAGTTAATCTAACCGACCTTAATGGGGTATTTTTGTTTTTTGTTTGAAATTGGACAAGCTGATTCTAAAATCATGTGGACAAAGAAATAATTACCAGGAAAATTTTGAAAAGAGAGTACTAACTATACAAAATGTGCTAAGTGAAAGGGTACTGACTATACTAAAAGCATGTTCTGCAATAAGTAAGATAATGAGATATTGGCACATGAGTGGATCAGCAATTCAAGTGAACAGACTAGAAAACCCAGAAACAGAGCCAAGTATACATAGCAATTAAATAAAAGTCTTATTTCAAAACAGCGGAGAAAGAAAGGATTATTTAATAAAGTGTTGGGAAAACTGAGTAGCCACCTGGAAAAAAAAGTTGGATCTCTACTTCACAGATTATACCAAAATGATTTCCAGATGAATCAAAGATGTGGCATTAAAAAATGAAACCATAAATTACCAGAAGATAAAAGAGAAAATCCACTTATTTAACCTCAGGGAAAAATCACATCACCATAAAAAAGTCAAATGACAAAGGACAGATGGAGGAAATGTTTTGTAATTTACCTTCCAGACAAAGGACTACTTTTCTTAACATATAAAAATGCTTATAAATCAATGAGAAAAGGATCAACAATCCAGAAAAACGGGCAAAACCTGTGAATAAACAGTTTAGGGAAAAAGGAAGTATGTAATATGAGAAATGCAAATGCAATGACAATCTGATACTTCCCAGGACATAACAGCACTTGGTGGGTGGGTGTGGAGAGACCGGCACTCGCAAGCTGGTGGTGGGAGTCTGCATTTCCACAACAGCAGTGATGAACAGTTTGATAAGAGCAAAATTTTTAAAGCACTTTTTCTTTAACCCAGCAAGTTCATTCCCAGAAATTTATCTTATAGCTATATTTACACCTCAGTGAAATGACACGGACAAGAATATTTCTTGTAATAGAGAAAGATTGGAAATGACGGAAAGGCCTGTCAGTAGGTGGCTGGTTATGTAAATTACGGTATGTCCACACGATGGAATAAGAGGCAGCCACCAAAAAAAGAATGCGACAGCTATAAGGAAAGCGCTCCAAGGTGTACTGTCAGGTTCAAAAGTATAGAGTATAACAGGGTGTGTATAGTAAGCCACTTTAAATAAGGGAAAGCGAAAGTGTATATATGTATACACACACACATACTCGTATGCCGTGTGGGATAAGTAGTAGTATTATCCCATTCTTTAGATAAGGAAATAGGCTTAGAGATGCTAACTAACTTTTTCAAAGTGACACAGTTCACAAAGACCACAAGAATAAGAAACCAGGAAATCTAACTGTAGAGTCTCTACTCTTTACTAATGTATATTGTCCCCGGTGAGGAAGAGGTTGTTTATTTTCTAAAAGCTGCCAAAATATTTGCTTTCTTTTTACCTGGAGACATGCAAACATACGGTAACGAAGTAGTGGTACAAAATCTAACAGTGAAAAGCTGTCGTTCCAGGCTGTGAGTCCTTGCCTTGGTCCTCCTCTGCAGAGGAGAGCTTCTGTGTTCTCGCCGTGATTGCCCCCCATAGCTTTATAAATATGATGACTACTCTATTTCTTGATTTGCCAACCTATGCTTTGTCAGTAAGTTCAGTTTAAATGTTGGAACCCAATAAATAGCATTTACGTTATTATGACTGTATCAGAGTTCAGTGAGAAAATCGGGACCTGTAGAAGATTTTATATCTACCTGTCTGTCTATCATCTATCATCTATCTACCTACCTGTGTGTATGTATATATACACACACATACACACATATATATATTTGTTTATATATGTATGTGTATATATATATACATATATAAACATATATATGTACATGTGCATATATATACTGTTTGTTGTAAGGAAGTGGCTCACACAGTTTGGGGCTGGCAAAGCAAGCCTAGAGTCTATAGGGCAGGCAATCAGAAAGAGACACTCACGAGCAGCCTGGAACCCATGGGCATGAGCTGAAGCTTGAAGCCTCTGAACTGATTAGGTTATGTCCATCAGGGTAATCTGTTTCATTAAAGTCAACTGATTAGGGTCTTTACACCTGCAAAATCCCTTCACAGCATCACTTAGATTAGTGTTTGCTTGAATAACTAGGAGAAGGTATGTGGATTCCACAAAATGGTTGCTGCCTCCCCTGTGTCCTCCAACTAGAGAGGCAATATCCCTTGTAAGCCCAACTTAATGAGAAACATGCTAGAAAGGGAACTCTGGGAAATGTAGCCAAGCTGACACATCAGGAAGCTTTCACAGCCCACCCCTTGTCAACTTGGAACCCATACACATCTGCTTCAATCATACTTAATGTCAAAAAAGGCAGTAACAAAACCATACTTCCACCTAACGTGACACAACTATCGCATGCACAAATGAACAGACTAACCTTTCTCTCAAAGGAAACAGAGTCCTTGGGTAATGTTCAGTCTTCTCTTTTGATATACTGTGACTTAAATACTGAGATGTAAAATTAACCATGATTTACACATATTAGTAGTTAAGATGGGGGGATGAGAGAGGTAGACGGGGAAAAAAAAATTTAAATAATTTCTTCAATTAAATGATTAAAAATTAAAATAAAAAATGAAATTAAACTTAAAAAATGTTTAAAAGAAGATAAGATGGAAAGCCACAGAAATATTGGGTTAATATCTGTACAAACATATTCATATTGAAATTAGGAGGAAATACTCGTGACCGTGAAAGTCCTCATTTCTACTGCTGGCCACGCAGTCGTTATTTGTAACCACTCTCTTCTACCCGTTTCAAATTTCCTTCGCCCTCAGCAAGCACCTCATCTGACCATGTTTTTCTTTTTTGTTTTTGTTTTTGTTTTTTTTTTAACTGGTGGGGTGACCTCACCTTCATTCTTGAAAGGTCTGGCCTATTAGCAGTCCTGCCTGAATAGAGTTGTAGTTTTCCACTGACTTTAATCACAGCACATGGGAGTACCAAAATATGCCCTGGGGGATCCCCCGTAAACCATGTATACTCCTGCTTACCCCGCCTTGTGCAGTACCAACCCAGTTTCCCCTTGCTTGTCAAGATCAGACATCCTAGTCGGTAAACTTCTTCACTTTTAATTCAGAGACAGGAGAGGTCAGACTGGCCGGTAGCAGTCTCAACTTGCCATTCAATGAACTTGTCAGGGTCTGTACTAGTTCTCCATTACTACACAACAAATCACCACAGACTCAGTGGGCTCAAACAACACCCATGTATTATTTTGCAGTTTCCGGGGGACAGGAGTCCGGACTCTTGGTTCTTTGTTCAGAATCCCACAGGGCTGCAATCAGGTGTCAGCAGGGCTGATTTTTCATTCAGACGTTCATCTGGGGGAGGATTTACTTCTAAGCTCAGATCGTTGGCAGGATTTATGTTCTTGTGGCTATATCATGGAGGGCATGTGCTTCCTACTAGCTGGCAGCAACCCTAATGGCTGTTTGCATTTCCTTGTCATGGCCCTCTCACACACAGTTTCCAACTTGGCCATTTGCTTTTTCAAAGCCAGCAGGCAAATCTCTCTTCTTATGTAATGAAACATAATCACAGGAGTAAATATCCCATCACCTTTGTCATATAAT